AAGGGAAAGGAGTTTGTAAGCTGCTCTGAGACTCCAAGTGAAGGGCGGGGTATAAATCCAATCTCTTCTTCTCTTCTCTTTTTGATTCTACATGATTTGTGACTTCAGGGTAAGCTGGAACAATGTATGTATAAAAAGCCTCGAAACAGACCATCCAGTGTTTTGACTCACTGTTCTGTCCACACCACTGATTTGATTTGATTTATTAAATTTATATCCAGCCCTCCCTTTCTGGTCTATATTTCCTTTCATATCAAATTTATGTTCACGACTTCACAATTCTAATCATAACTTATCCTTCTGGTACAGTTGTGTCTCATCTAAAAAAAACTGAGAAAAAAGCCCTAGACTAGAACTGCTGAGGAAAAACATTGGCATCTTAACATTTCATATAGCTAGAAAACAACCTTGCCCAGTTTTTTTTTTTTTAAACTTACAGGTGTATTCAAAGTACTGCAAGGGGAGTTCAGGGAAGAAAACTTTCCTGTCTCCCCCTCCCACTGGAAGCTACCATACCTCCTAACATGTTGGCGCCTGGGCTCAGGGAAGTCCAGTGCTCTGTGTGATGTGTGGCTCTGCAGTGGAAGAGGAGAACTCAGCAAAAAATGGCTGTGGTGGGGAAAGGAACATTGATGCAAGCCTTTGGCTGCCATTCTCAGCCATCTGTGCTTGATTATGCCCCTTCAGTGTATGAACCTGGCTGGAGGGTTGTAGATTCAAGGGGCACTCCACAATCACTCAAATGAAAGTGGGTTTTGAGAGAGAACCACACAGAGAACAACATAGAAGGATTGAAACAAAAGCCTTGGGGCTGGCCTTTGTAGCAATAATAAATTTGCTGTACGAGCACCACAGAATACATACAGGTATACTTTGTCTTTAAGCATACCTTGTTACCTTACAGGTACTCTGCCTTTCTTTGTCAGCAGCTGCATTTGTTGCTGGACTGTCAGACTGGTTCTGCTCCATTCTCTTTCTTTAAAATAGGGTTAAATGTTTTCCAAATTATGCCTTAATGAGGAAAAAAATCCAGTAGGGTCAATTATATTGTAAGCACTACCTGTAAGAAGACTCTTGATTAGTTTTTTTGTTTTTTTTTTTAGAAAAAAGAAATATGTCAGGCTAATCCTAATTTTAATTTACTTTTGGAGTAAAAAAAGCAAAAACAAGATGTAGCTGTGATCAGCAGAAGCATCTGTTTTACATATCAAAAGCCTGCTTAAAGACACAATGCTGACTGTTTTCCATTTTGAAGAATAGGGAGAGGTAATATATAGTTAGATGTTATTGTTCCCTAAGAAGCCAGTGATTACATTGATAGAATGAAGTAAGCTATATGTACAGCATACTGTTGCTTGCATACCATACTGTGCTATCAGTTCTGACGACATATTTGAAGGTGGCATGCCTCTTTAATAAGGCTTTCGTTCTAACTGTAGGTACAGTGAAAAGTGCATTATGTAATATCTTAATACATATCCATGTTAATACAGCATGAAGGGAGGCTCATGGCTTGGGCTGGGCTTGGTGAGGCAGCCAGTGAGGGACCCCTAAGTCGTCACAGCCCTGTGCTGAGTGCTTGGACTCTTAAAGAAAGTTCTCCTCAGGAGAGGCTGGCATGGCTGAAGCCCTCCAAATGTTGGAAACCCCCTGAGAAAAGTAGGTGGAGCCCTAAGAATGTGGGAGAATCCAGGAGAAGCTGGCTTAAGGTGGACAAATCTGGCTCCGTTAGGGCAAGGTAGTGGGTTGATTTGGATGGATTTACCCTCCCCTCCGGGTCCGCTCCCTCCCCTTTCCTGGTACTTATTCCTTCTTGCAGTGTGCACAGCTGCCCCTTGTGTCTCCCTTGGCAATAGTCAGGGGGGCAGGTGAGCCCAGCCCTCATATGGACTTTCTCCACTCTCCCAACTCTGCACACACAGGAAGGCAGCACAAAGGTGGTCTGCTCTCCCTCCTCACCAGCTGTGGCAAACCATGCCTCTCCCCCTCACCTCTGCAAGAGAGGGGTGCTGGAATCGCCTTCTCACCTGTCAGAAAATGTGACACCAACATATTTAATCCTAGCGACATATGTGAGGACTATGACCTGGATGGGCCCGGCTAGCCCAATCTTGTCAGCTCTCAGTAGCTCAGCAGGGTCAGCTTCTGGTTTGTACTTGGATGGGAGACCACCAAAGAAGTCCAGGGTTGCTATGCAGAGGAACCACCTCAGAACATCTCTTGCCTTGAGAACCCTACAGGGGTTCTGTGACTTGGCAGCACTTTCAACCACCACATATGTGAGGACAGGTTCACTTTATTGAGGATTACAATTTGCTTTTTCTGTATTCAATAGCTAAGGGCACCTAGAATATAGCATGATGAACCTACAATTTTGGAGGTGGGAAATGGAAGTTTTAGCACCATTATGAACTGAAGAAAGTAATCATGTCACATCTTTAGTTTTTCATATGTAAAATGGGGACATGAACATTCTGCTTGATATAATACACCAGCAGGGCTCTGAACACATGAAGGATTCCATGATTCCTTATGAGAAGAACATAATAAGCAACAGAGATTTATATCTGTAGCCCAAGAACAGTCATGCCAGTCAGTTAGAGATTTCCCTGGGTAAAGATTGTGAGTGAATTCATGACTTCACTGAAATCAATGACCAAGCTACCAATGGCTTGAATATGAATTTTCAACCTAAGGCCAAGGTCTGATTTAGCTTTTTTTTTTTTTTTGTCTTCCTATGGTTATTGTATTAAAGGCAAAGCAAATAGGAGCATATAATGTCAAAAAACTGTACAGAAAATGTTGAGCAAAGTCTCATAAAAGCTGGCTAGCATTTAGTCAACAAGAATAGCTATCACGTCTAAACAATAAATACAGAAGGTTCATGAAATGGAACACAAGTCATTCTAAAGTGTTAAGCAGAGTGCCACATAATTAAATTAAATCACATGCAGAATTCCCTGGACAGCCAAAAACAAACTTGTACTTTGAGACTTAATGACCAGATATTGTATTTTAAAAGTTACATTTTACTCAATGGTTCAGTTAATAGTATCGAAAAACAAAGCCAAATATTAAAAGGGAATTTAACAACAAAAATAAAACACTAGGTTGTATTCAGCAAAAGGAGCTTACAAGGGTATTTGTGGGTGTGGATTGTTCCTGCTTCTCCCTTACCCTAGCAATGTACTGAGCCCTCTGAAACCTTGGAGCTGGAGATTGTGGGACTCGAATAGAAAAAAGCCGCATAGCCCAGTGGGGTACAGTGAGAAGGGGGAACAGGGTGAAATAGCTCCAGTGGTGCTTCCATCGCTGCAAATGCAGTTTTTCACCATTAACACCTCCTCATTGCAGACAGGTGGCTTTTTGTTCATCCATGTCCCATGACTTCCAACATCAACTTTTTGGAAATCTTAGGGCTTCCAATTATTTTTGTCTATGCTTGTTATTTGGTCCAAAATGTTTTTTTCCACATTCTGATTGTGCTCCTTCCAGAATGAAAATGTAAGGGCTACAGAATCAGGACCCCAGTTTCTTGCAGAAAGCTGTTCTTTAACAGAAACTGTCCTTGGAAGAAAAACAACTTTATGAGAATCTTTGAATTGCACTTAGCCACACTAGAAATCATTTTGTTGAAGTAAATTGAATCATAGAGGGATTGCTTTCTGCACTGTGCAAAATCACAATAATTGGAATAGATTTTTGGGTTGATGAATAAAGAACACAAACATTAGCACATTTCTTTTTACAGGAAAATGGAATAATAATGGAGATCTGGCAAAAATACGTGTTTCAGTTGTTCAGTTCTCATGCTAGTTAATCTCATTGCAGGTGAGGTTTCCATCTGTTAATGAGAACTGCATGTACATGAAGTAAGAGGTCTCATGAAGGGTGAAGCCATAATGGAAGTTCCAAATAGTCTGATTTGCTATATGTTAATTACAAAATTATATGAACAATGGGATAGATGGAATCGATCCAAAGTGGATGCTGAATTCAGCGTGTCTCTTTTGAAGATGTGGGAGAGCTTGGGTACATGGAAAAGATCAGCCACATTGGGCTAAGTATTTTTCTGGCTTCATTATTAGTAGTTATGCTTGTCTGTTAATTCATGGGGAAGTGTTCATGTTGATGTTCTGAATTAAGCAACATCTACAACTGGGATGCCTATTGTTGGAAAAGCGGGGGGCAAGTGGCAGCATTTGTAAAGTGATATCAGAAGCAAGTATACAATAACCAGATCTTCTAAATAGAATGATATTTTAACAATAATTAATAGAATGATCATGACTGTAATAAACAGGTTGAGCTTTTACTATAAAACTTTCCATGACCATTTGGCACATTTTATTGCCATCAAAATAATTATGTTGTATAACATATGATGCCTTATTTTTGTTTTGACTTTGGCAAACTTTCAATTTCTGGTCATTAAATCCTGCACAGTCATAATAGGGATTTATCTAGACCAACATCAATGAAGACTATGTAAATAAAAATAACTGAAGCGATGATTTAGTTCACAATAAGGTGTAAAACTCTGTAGCTTATACTTTGAGCTTTTAAACAGAAAGCAAGAAAGGTTGAGATGCTTTAAGAAGTTGCAAGTTTGCAACACAAGTCTGTACAAATCCTCCAGGCAGTGGGCTGTGAAGGAAGTGCCTGTGTTCCAAGAAACATGTTGCCCACAGACCCTTGATAACTGAAGTTCTCCCCCTGAAACCCAAATTATTTACAAATATATGCATTTTGGAGGTTCAAAGCACCTTATTTCACACCCTTATAAATACATGCATCGACATTTCTTCCTTTTGTGTGCAAATTCCAAAGTTCATTATAACTAGGAGGAAAAAAAGTTAAGAGGTTTAAAAAAAAACACAACCATTCTACAGTCTTAAGTGAAAGGATCAAAAATGTCAGACATTGCAGAAGAGAGGCTCCTAACAGAGCTCTTTATTTTACTCGAAGTTCTTTTGTTATACTTTTCCTGATCCCCCCCCTTGTTTGTTACAAAAAGTAGATTCCCACTTTTAAATGAAACAGTACTTAAACTAAACAACTTCATGCCATGCAAAAATAAAATTTTATGTCCTTTTGAGACTCTGCCATGTTTTAGTTCATAGGCATTACTAATTGCGATGATAAGAAATGAGTTTTTGTGATTATTGCTCTTGTACCTAGTCACATGCTGGTTTCCCGTGTGGGACAGTAACCAGTTTCTCCAGGATTTGTATGGATTTCTGGGGAAAACAAATGGTTTTCCATTTTATGTCCTTCTTGGCTATTGTCTGCTTTTACTTCCCCCCCACCACGGTAAATGTCTTGAGTACAGTTGTGAGCCAAGATTTTGGGAGATGAAGAGCTGACCAGAGGCTCTTCTGTTAAATGATTGTCATCTTTGTGTTTATCTCCAAAGCAGTTTGTCTTGCTGTCCTCCTGCTTTTCATGTCTTATGCTAGGAATCTCCATGAAGTCATTGTCTTCTCCAGTGTCTATTTCAGTGAAACTTCTCCTCTCCTTGGAAGGGAAAGTAAAACGCTTTTGTTTGGGAAACAGAGGAGATGATGTCTTGGAAGCTCCCTGGCAAAGAACTGGCACATCAGCAGCACCAAGCAAGGGTCTCTCTCCTTGAGGTGAATTTTCTTCTAGAAGAATGGTGCTGATATGTTGAGGAGTAGATTGTGCAAGGCTTGCTGCTGCTGCCACTGGCAATGGTCTTGCAGTGCTGGGTGGTGTTTGTGGTGCACTGCCTCTGTTTTCTTTAAAATTAACCTTAAGGGACCTTGATTTTAATGGGTTACTTCCTTTTAAAGAACTTTTTGGACTGTCCATAGCACTGTCAAAGTGAAAATTACCTTGAAGCAGAGGTTGGGAACCAGTGTTCATACCAGTATCAGTGGGGTATTCAAAAGTCATGTCTCCGGGGGAAAGTATTTTGTCTCTGGAGAGTAATAAAAGCTGAGAACTCTTTGCTCTTTGGTCTTCTAAATGGATAGACTCACTTGGGAGTGAGAACCGGAGCTGTAGATTAGAACCAGAGTGAGGAGGGAATGGAGACCGGTCTGTCTCAGTGAAATCAGTGGCACAGCTGGCAAAGCTGTCAATGCTAGAGATGCTTCTCATGTCAGTTATTACATGTCTGGGTCCTGATGCCAGTGGTTCTTCTGGTCCAGTAACCTCTTCCATTTCTATTTCTTCCTGACAGAGTGAAGGTTTTGCTGCTGGATTTTGGTAACTGGCATTAAGATTAGGTTGAGATTGAGTTTTAGTAATTTCATTGTATAACATTTCAAGTTTTTGAGCACTCAAGTGTTGGGGACTGGAGGATACTGCAGTGTTGTTTAGCTTTTCATGGGAATCTTTCTGGCTCACTTCTTGGTATTTGTTCTCCAGGGACCTATTAGAGCTTGTTTCAGATATTGTCTTCCTGGCCCATTTCCACCGGCTGGGAGACAGGTGATTATCATCAGGGGTTTGCTTTGGGTTGGCTGCTTCCTCAGTCTTGCTGGAATCTACAGCTACATCTATCAGCTCCATGCTGCGAGCAAAGGCATCTTTTAGATTCATTGAGATAATGCTTCCATTTCTTTTTGCCCGTTCAAGTGCCTCTCTTCTTTTAATGGCTTTCTCCTGCCGTTTTTGTTCTTTGTAGAACTCTGAGAAATTATTTACTATGATAGGAATGGGCAGGGCTATTACTAGCACTCCTGCAATACAGCATAACCCTCCAACTATTTTACCAAGTAAAGTCTTAGGATAAATGTCACCATAACCTACTGTTGTCATAGTGATGGTGGCCCACCAAAATGATGCTGGAATACTTGTAAACTTTGTAGCATCTTCATCCTTCTCAGCAAAAAATACAAGACTGGAAAATATCATAATTCCCATTGCTAAAAATAATATCAACAAACCCAATTCATTGTAACTCCTCCTGAGAGTAAATCCTAAAGATTGAAGGCCTGTAGAATGTCTGGCAAGTTTAAGGATCCTTAGTATTCTCATAATGCGGAATATCTGAACCACACGGCGAACATTTTGGAACTGCAGCACACTTTTGTTGGATTCGGTGAGGAAAATAGTAACGTAATATGGCAAAATGGCCAGCAAATCAATTACATTTAGTGGACCTTTGAAGAACTTCCACTTGTTTGGAGATGATAGGAAACGCAAAAGGTACTCCATGGTAAACCAAGCTATACACACGGCTTCTACATGTGCTAGCTGGGGATTGTCATTTGGCTGTCCAAATTCATCAGTTACTTGAAGGTCAGGTAGAGTGTTGAGTGATAATGCAATTGTAGACAGTACAATGAACAAAATGGACACAATGGCCAAAATCTGTAAAACAAAAACAAGCAAAACTGTGGTTAGCGATTTGTAATGGATGCTTGAGATTCAACCACAGAAACAGCACACTAATAGAGTTTCATACTATTACATTCAGTCTCATTACATTAAGGCTGTATAGCCAGCACCACAACTAGTTCATACCAGACCTTTTGAAGTGCTGGTGCATGACCATTTACATGGGTGCTGTAAATGATCATGCCCTTCCCACTGTCATTCCTGAGTTTACTATGATTGATGAAAACACCTTCTATATACCAGTTTTGAACATCAAGGACAGATATTTAGCATATTTAGGTGCTATTCTACTTTCATAAAAACTCATACTGGAATAAATGTTAGTCTTTAAGGTGCCATTGGTCTCCTGTTTAATTATCCTGTGTTTAACAACTATCTGTCTTTGGAGATCCACTAAGAACTCTAGCTTGCACACCTTACTATTAGTGTATAACCATCCCATTTTGAGAGCAGTTGATGGCCATGGCATGAGTGTGTGTGCTACCTCTTGAATGATTTGTCACCCGAAATAACTGAAAATGTAGCCTCTTTTTTAAGTTTGGTAATCAAGGACCATCTGCACAATGTATAGATGCATATGATTGATTCATTTCTCCTTCTTACCTATTTATCCACTTTTGTTTCTTCCTGTAACCTAACATATGCCAATAAAGGTCTGTGTATATGTATATGGGAGTGTGTGTGCATGTGCATGCATGCATGTGTACAGTAAGGTACTTTCTCCTAGTGTTCCAGCAATAGTGTTAGCTGGAATAGTTCTCTGGAACCTTCCATGTGCCCAGAAAATCTTTTACTGAGGGTTAAGGGGCCCCTGTGAGCAAAGCGCCACATAGAATTCATCTGCTGAGCTTTCTGAAATGGCTATTGGTTTGGCTCATAAGCAGAATTCAGGGCCGAGACTAGCTTTTTTGCTGGCTTAAACTAGCAATGTTGCAGGGATTTTCCTTGAACCTGACTAGCAGCAGCACCTATCTAGGAGGCAGCTACAGGCCCAAGCCATGCCTGTTACCCCCTCCTGTGCTACTGGTGTTTGGGAGAAAACTGATCCTGAGCGGTGAATCAGTACTTTTTCCTCATTATGGCACCCTAAGCACTTAGTATTATGACACAGCCTTTGTAGATATGTAAATGGTACGTGATGCAATAACTTGTGGTATATTACCCATTGAATGAGGGAGAGACAGCTCATTAATGGGTGCTACTATAGCCATAATGTTCTGTTCCATAAAGTTTCAGTATCTAACCACTATGAACTATGACCACTGAGAGAGTTCTTCTGAGTTATCTGTCATATGACATTTTAATAGTGTTGGACCTAAAGGTGCCCGTCCTCCTAAGGGAGAATTCTTCCATGGGTGGGAGATACCTTCCATGAGGGCAAAATGATTTCTTCTTATGGAAGAGCGCAGTTGGACCCAAACCATCGTTTTAAAGTAATCTCTAGAAGAAGCCTAGGAATAAAAATTCAACATATTGTAGCACTTTATGGTTTAGCACTTAGTTAATTTGTGTTAAAAGAAAATGGACAGCCTTAAGATAATTTGAGAAAACGCTACAGCTATGCTAAACAAATTTGCCTAAGTACAGCATTTGGAAATGCATTTTTTTCATAAAAAGGATTTCATAATTTCTGTATTCCATTAAAAGGAATTGTTTTCTGCTTTGAAGTTCAATTTAGGCTCAGTGAAGCAAAAAGTGGGAAAATCATTTGTGCCTATTTCTGAGAAATTGTTCATTTAAAAGCATTTTTGGTGGCTATGTTCTTCTAAAGATGTAGAAGTGCTAGAAAGTACAGTCACACACACACACACACTGCACAGGAATAATCAAGAATTCTGTCCTTTTTTTTAAAAAAAGATCACAATCCCAGTACAATGTAAGGGTCCCAGACAGTGTTCCCTGTAAGCTGAGTTAGTGTGAGCTAGCTCACGCTAACTCAGCTTAGAGGGAACATTGGTCCCAGACAAGATGCCGCGCTTCTGATCTAGAGCAATACAAAGCTGAAGGTTCTTTTTAAAAATAATCACAGGCAACTCATGATTATGCTTACAAATTTGCTTCTGATTCACTCATTAAAAAAGGTAAAGGTTCCCTTGCTCGAAAGCCAGTCGAATCCGACTCTAGGGTTGCGGTGCTCATCTCCGTTTCAAAGCCGAAGAGCCAGCGCTGTCCGAAGACGTTTCCGTGGTCATGTGGCTGGCATGACTAAACACCAAGGTGCACAGAACGCTGTTACCTTCCCACTAAAGGGGTACCTATTTATCTACTTGCAATGTCTTGCTTTCGAACTGCTAGGTTGGCAGGAGCTGGAACTAGAGACGGGAGCTCACTCTGTCATACGGCACAGACAGACTACCACAGCTACCCTTCTATCTACATGGTGGATGTACTCCTTATGGTAAGAACTCATATATACAACACACAAGGGATGCAGAACACACCACAGAGATGCTGCTTTAGCTGATATCTCCATGTGGAAAGAACAATGTATACTGTATCCAGGCCTCATTTTGGGCCGGAGCGGGCCGGAGAAATGCTCCAGTAGTAAACAGGCCCGCTCCTCCCCCCAGGTAACCCATGGCCAAGAGCTATTTTTGTGCTGGTGCCAGCTGCCTTCCGGGTCCCCCTCCCACCCACCCACAGACGACAAGGCGCAGAAAGAGCAGGAGCGACAGCCCCCACTGCTGCCGGGTCAGTCCAAATCATTCTCTCTGCCTGCTTGCAGCGCTCTGTCCCAGCAGCCGGAGAGAGAGAGAGACACGGCCCACCGACCCGGGCTGGGTGAAGCAGGCAGGCAGGCAGCCACCCCAGAGAAACATAAATGGCCGCTTCGGGGGAGAGGTTTTGGGGAGTGCGGTGGCGGGCAAGGATCACGTGGTGCTGCGCTGGGCTCTTAACAGTCATGCCCGGGCTTTCTTTTCCTGGGGAGTTGGGCACATTTCCACAGACAAAAGGAGCTCTGGCTGCTGGTCTTACTGCCCGCGGAGATCCTGGAAAGGCCAGAGCCCACCGCTCCGCCCTCTCAGCTGCCTCAGTGACCCAGTTCACCCAAGGTGCTCGGAGGGATGCAATATCTGTATTCACTCAGCCGAAGGGGGGATTTTGGTGGGAACTGGGGCTGCAAACCGCTCTTTTGCCCAGCTAGGGAGGGACTTCCTTTCTCCTATCAAAAGCACATTGTTAATAAGGAAGGAAAGGGAAAGAAAGGGGGGTGAGACATCGTGCCGTTGTTCCCTAAACAACCTACACCACCCGATCATGTTCTGTATGGGAAAACAGTGAATTTAGTGGCGTTGACTTCCTGGTGATGGTGAATAATTGCGCTCCGGGTTGCTGCTCTCAAGTTTCACAAGCATTTCCCAAGTTTGGTCTTGTGAATAGATCCTGCCCTGTTATCTGAAACACATTTTTTTTTGGGGGGGGGATCATTAACAACTTTGCATTTATACAAAGTGGTACAACTGATGGGAGTTAGGAACTTGAAAAATTGACCAAAAATGGTATTTAAATTTGTGAATGCTTTTAGTCAAACAAGTGCCGTGGCACCTTAAAGACTCACAAATATTTATTTCAGCCTAACTTTTTTGTGAGCCGGAACTCACTTCATCAAATACATCAAGTGTACATCCGTAGCCAATAGATATGAGCAACAAAAAGGTGGAAGCAGACAAATGTTACAGAGGCCAATTTGAAACAGCTATCCAAGAGAATTCCATCTGTTCAGAATGGGTGAGGACTACCCCTGAGTGTAATACAGGGGCCACCATTCCATTGTTTGTTATTTCAAGTGTGTAAGTATCTCTCATGTATGTGCCATGCATCAGATGAAGTGAGCTGTAACTCGTGAAAGCTTATGCTGGAATAATTTCAAAGCCAGACTGGTTCCCGGTAATACCCTGCTACACGAGGGGTCCAAAGGAGAATACCTGCAGCCCAAACGAGTCTAATACATCAACAATGACCTGCAGCGCATCCCTGATAGGGATATTTCTCCTTTTTAGGTCTTGAGTGGCACACCTTTCCTTCCATACAGATAATCTTTCAAGTTATAGGAGCAAAATGGGGGAGGGGACTCTCTCCTTGGGCATTACAATCATTACAGCTCTCTTTCCTGCACCTAGGAGGTAGAGGGAAGAGAGCTGTAATGACTGTAATGCCCAAGGAGAGTCATTTTATTTATTATTTATGTACAAGACTTATATCATGCCTTCCTGCCCTGATCAGGGCCACCACGGCAGCTAATGACTTGCTACTGTTCAACAGCTGCTGCCCCATGAAGTGTTGTGTAGTGGTTAGTGTTCCAGACAAGGATTTGGGAGACCCAGGTTTGAATTTGAGTTGGGAAATACCTGGAGATTTTGAGGATGGAGCCGGAGTGGTGGGTGTTGCCTTCTGACACACTTCTGGTGATGTCAGGGGGTGTGACATATGCAAATAAGTTATGCTAATGAGCTCCTGCACCTCTTTTTCTACTAAATGACCCCTGACTGTATCAGTGTAAAAGGGAGGAAAAAGTTCTATAACTAGAAGGACTCAGAAGTCTCAGAGTAGACTACAGTCAGTGACAGCACCATTATTTCACCATAACATGGAGGACAGCAATGCACCGAGGGCAGCTCTTTTATCTCTCTCATACTAATAGAATGTACCTAAAAACAACAGCAAATAGCAAACACCAGTACTCCTTTTTTTTTTTTGCTAGTGCCTTTTTGCCAATAAAATAAAGCAACAAAATTATTTCATGTCAGGTGAAATTTTTACTTAATTTAATTCTTTGTCTTTATAAAGAAATTCTGCATACAAATGAAGTCTCTCTTGAACATTATGTTTCATTCCAGTTACAAGATAAAATTATGTACAGTGTTAAAATCCTTCTAGATAAAGTGGTTTCTCTACATCTTTGTAGTTTCTGTTGGAATGTGTCCAGTTTTTAAGTAGCATTAAAAAGTGGCTTTGTTCCTGTGCACCTAATT